GGGTGGACCTGGTATAAGAAAGCTAGGGAGAAAAGTGCTAGATGATGCTGGATGTCCTCTAGCCAGAAAATACTACGGGCCTGAATTTCTGCAGCTTCTAATGAACACTGTGAGAAGTTCACAGTGTGCGGTGAAATCATAGTAAGTGATTTTAGTGCAGGAGAGGAGCCTGTACAATGGTACAAGACTGAACATAAGGCTGGAGCTTTAAAGGAAATCTAGAGTGATGGAAACACAAAAGCCACTGTTGCTGACCTCCTTCTCAAAGTGCTGCTGTCTCTGGTGTCAATACTGTTAATCTTTGTTCAGTGTTCAGCAAATTAAAGGGATGCTTCAGTCTCCCCCCCACCAAAAAAAAAAACAGAAGTCAGCAGCTACAAATACTGTACCTGCTGAGATTTAATATAAGGATACTTACCTGGGTCCAAGGGTCCAGCGCTGTCCTTACCCAAACCCATTCTTCACCGGGCTTCAGGTCTCTAGTGCCGGCATTACAGTATAAGAGAAATTGGCTTCACACTGCGCATACGCGTGTTGCACTGCACTTTATGAATGATCCCCCAGTCTTCTGAGACCTATGATGTGTTCCAGAAACCTTTCCTGCCTTCCATGTTATGGGAAAAAATATATGGTATAGTAACAATGGAATGACAAAAAAATTGATTTTATTTATGAAGCTTTTTTTCTCACACTATGACAAGACAACAAAGGCCCTGTCTTTGAAAATGTATTGAAAGACCCCAACATTTTCACCATATTAACAGAAACAGTCTGAAGTCTTAGACTGTGAATGTTTTGAACATTTGTAATTAATATTCTTATATTAGGGTTACTTGAAATTAAAGCAAAAAAATTAAAACTGAAAAATTGTTACTTTTAGTTTTTTTTTCAGTTTCTTATATATATATATATATATATATATATATATATATATATATATATATATATATATATATATATATATATATAAAGTAGGTAATAATGCTATAAAATACTTTATACTACTACTCTTATACATGAGAACACCACATACAGTGCCTTCAAAAAGTATTCATACCCCTTGAAATTTTCCACATTTTTCATGTTACAACCAAAAAAATGAATGTATTTTATTGGGATTTTATGCGATAGACCCAACACAAAGTGGCACATAATTGTGAAGTAAAAAATGATAAACCATTTTCAAAGTTTTTGAGAAATAAATATCTGAAAAGTGTGGTGTGCATTTGTATTCATCCCCCTTTACTCTGATAACCCTAACTAAAATCTAGTGAAACCAATTGCCTTCAGAAGCCACTTAATTAGTAACTAGAGTCCACCTGTGTGTAATTTAATCTCAGTATAAATACAGCTGTTCTGTGAAGCCCTCAGAGGTTTGTTAGAAAACAGCAGTGAACAAAGAGCATCATGAAGGCCAAGGAAACACACCAGACAGGTCGGGGATAAAGTTGTGGAGAAGTTTAGAGCAGGGTTAAGTTATAAAATAATATTCCATGCTTTAAACATCTCACGGAGAACTGTTCAATCAATCACCGAAAATGGAAAGAGTACAGCACAACTGAAAACCTACCAAGACATAGCCGTACACCTAAACTGACAGGCCGGGCAATGAGAGCATTAGTCAGAGAAGCAGCCAAGAGGCCCATGGTAACTCTGGAGGAGCTGCAGAGATCCACAGTTCAGGTGGAAGAATCTGTCCACAGGACAACTATTAGTCGTGCACTCCACAAATCTGGCCTTTATGGAAGAGTGGCAAGAAGAAAGCCATTGTTGAAAGAAAGCCATAAGAAATCCCATTGCAGTTTGCGAGAAGCTATGTGGGGGACACAGAAAACATGTGGAAGAAGGTGCTCTGGTCAGATGAGACCAAAATTGAACTTTTTGGCCCAAAAGCAAAACACAATGGGGCTGATTTACTAAAACTGGAGTGTGCAAAATCTGGTGCAGCTGTGCATAGCAGCCAATCAGATTCCATCTTTTTGTCAACGCATAATTAAATAAGCTGAGTTTAGAAGCTGATTGGCAACCATGAACAGCTGCACCAGGGATTGCACTCTCCAGTTTTAGTAAAGCAACCCCTATGTGTGGTAGAAACTAACACTGCACATCACCCTGAACACACCATCTCTACCGTGAAACATGGTGGTTGCAACATCATGTTGTGGGGATGCTTTTCTTCAGCAGGGACAGGGAAGCTGGTCAGAGTTGATGGGAAGATGGATGGAGCCAAAACAGGACAATCTTAGAAGAAAACCTGTTAGTGTCTGCAAAAGACTTGAGACTAGGGCGGAGGTTCACCTTTCAGCAGGACAACGATCCTAAACATACAGCCAGAGCTACAATGGAATGGTTTAGATCAGTGGTTCTTAACCTGGGTTCGATCGAACCCCAGGGGTTCAGTGAGTCAGTCTCGCGGGTTCGGCAGAGGTGAAGACCCACACCCAACTCATATGATTCGTGCAGTAAATATTCATTATTATGTTTTTGTTTTTGTGTGAAAATCATGTTTTAATGGTTTTTGTTCTTTGTTCTTAACGGTTTTGTTCATTTTGTGCACCTATGTATAAATATATACCTATGTTTTGAATTTTAAAAATCATATTTTATTTTTCCAATTAAGAAGAGTTCGGTGAATGCGCATATGAAACTGGTGGGGTTCAGTACCTCCAACAAGGTTAAGAACCACTGATTTAGATCAAGGCATATTCATGTGTTAGAATGGCCCAGCCAAAGTCCAGATCTAAATCCAATTGAGAATCTGTGGCAAGACTTCTGCTCACAGACGCTCTCCATCCAATCTGACAGAGCTTGAGCTATTTTGCAAAGAAGAATGGGCAAAAATATCCCTCTCTAGATGTGCAGAGCTGGTTGAGACATCCCCAAAAATATTTGCAGCTGTAATTGCAGTGAAAGGAGGTTCTACAAAGTATTGACTCGGCGGGACTGAATACAAATGCACGCCACATTTGTCAGATATTTATTTGTAAAAAATGTTGAAAAACATTTATCATTTTGCTTCCACTTCACAATTATGTGCCACTTTGTATTGGTCGATCACATAGAATCCCAATATAATACACTGACGTTTTTGGTGGTAACATGACAAAATGTGGAAAATTTCAAGGGGTATGAAAACTTTTTCAAGGCACTGTAAATATGTCTTATGCCCAGTACACACGAGCAGAAAATGGGATAAAAATCATCACTTTTGGAGCGATTGTATGATAATGTTAAAACACAGCTTTCGACAGCCAATCAGGACAGTTTGTGCAAAATTATCTGAAGGGACAAGCACGGAAATGTTTGGTGTATGATAACAGAGCGACCGATGATCATTTAATCAGTATAGTATTTATCAAAAACAAATTGAGAGACCAAGACCACACATACGTGGAAACAAAAGAATACATTACATACAATACATCGCTACTGAAGTTCTTTTCTGTCGTATAATTTTTGTAACTTTAGTAACTTCTTCAATTTCAATATGAGACTAGTATGCAAAAAAAAAGATGACCATTCATCCGATATTCTCATCATGTGTATGGGGCATTAGTCACACTGGGTGATAATTACGAAAACCTGGGAGTGCAAAATCTAGTACAACTCTGCATAGAAACCAATCAGCTGCCACGTTTAATTGCCAAAGCTTAATTGAACAAGCTGAAATTAGAAGCTGATTGGCTCCCATGCACATTGCACAAGATTCTGAGTGCACCAGTTTTAGTAAATCTCAACCATAGCGTGAACATGGCAAGGCCCAGAAACAAAGGAGTACATTCTGTCAATGGCTGAAACCTGACATGTCCCTTTTTTTGGCACCAAACTGCTTTTACAATGGCTCAGGAGTGGCAGGATCCTAGAAACATCCCCAAAATGACTTCGTTTAGAGACCCCTCAAAGTTTTTGCAAAACTAGAGTTTGAACATTAAATTTTTCTAGCAGCAACACGGGAAAGAATGCAATATAAAGTGAATGCATTTCTGTACAGCAATATAACTTCAAGATCTGCATAAAAGCAAAGTGATAAAACGATGCCTGCCTAAAATCTGTACCAGATAAACTGCAATCATGTTCTATCATTACTATGGCTAAATGGTTAGCACTTCCACCTGGCAGTATTAGGGTTGTAGGTTTGAATCCCAGCTACAGCACCACCTCACTGGAGTTTGCACGTTCTCCCTGTGACTGTGTTGGTTTCCTCTGGGTACTCTGGTTTCCTCCCACACTCCAAAGACATGCTGGTAGGTTAATTGGTACCTGTCTAAATTGGCCCTAATATGTGTATGTATGAATGTGAGTTAGGGACCTTAGATTGTACATCCCTTGAGGGTTAGGGACTGATGTGAATGTACAATATATATGTAAGGTGCTGTGTAAATGGACAGTGCTATATAAGTACCTGAAATAAATAAATTACTATAATGACAGCTGTTTGTGGATGAACTCTTCCTGAACAGAGGGGGGCGCTCTGCAGCTCGGACACAGATGAACAGAGGGGGCGCTCTGCAGCTCGGACACAACTGAACAGAGGGGGCGCTCTGCAGCTCGGACACAGCCGCTACTTCTTATACTTGCTGGTACTAAGTGGTGATCTTCCAATCAGGAGGCGAAGTACTGATACCTACATACGTAGGGCTTGTCAGCGGTCTAGTGATAGATTGGTCAGAACCTGCGCCTTTGCTTTTCTCTAAACCTACGATTGGCGGAGACGTGTAACCCGGCCTTCTGAGATTGGTTAAAGAACACTCCTTGGACAACGCGATTGGCCAGGGGGAGGAGTATGGCGATGGTTGTTTATTCACACAACCACGCCTCCTGTCTGTGTTCCTATGCCTGTGATTGGATAGCGCGGGAGGAACGTGTGCGAGTGGGGAAGCTGCATCCTTGAAACAGAGAGAGGACACTGAGGGAGCGCGGCCTATGGAAGGGGGGCGGTGTATGTTAGGTGGTAGCCGGAGAGGAGCCTGTCTATAGGAAGAGCCCCGACCGCTCACACAATGAGGCTGCTCAGGGTCCTCATGAGAAGTGCCCCCCCTCACCGGCAGCAGCACCCAGGGGCTGGTGGACTACTACTCCAAGTTCTCCCCGTCACCTCTCTCCATGAAGCAGTTCTTGGATTTCGGTGAGTTGGGTGGCCTGCTGTTCACAGGATTCCATTCATTGCCAGCCTGTCCAGGCTTCTCCAGAGACATACAGGAAGAATCTCCATACCTGTCCTCACATGGAGATCCAACCCACCTGTCCTGACACCTTCCCCCCTGACACAAGGCGATCATCCTGACACCTTCCCCCCCCCCGACACATGGAGATCATCCTGACACCTTCCCCCTGACACATGGAGATCATCCTGACACCTTCCCCCCTGACACATGGAGATCATCCTGACACCTTCCCCCCTGACACATGGAGATCATCATGACACCTTCCCCCCTGACACATGGAGATCATCCTGACACCTTCCCCCCTCACACATGGAGATCATCCTGACACCTTCCCCCCTGACACATGGAGATCATCCTGACACCTTCCCCCCTGACACATGGAGATCATCCTGACACCTTCCCCCCTGACACATGGAGATCATCCTGACACCTTCCCCCCTGACACATGGAGATCATCCTGACACCTTCCCCCCTGACACATGGAGATCATCCTGACACCTTCCCCCCTGACACATGGAGATCATCCTGACACCTTCCCCCCTGACACATGGAGATCATCCTGACACCTTCCCCCCTGACACATGGAGATCATCCTGACACCTTCCCCCCTGACACATGGAGATCATCCTGACACCTTCCCCCCTGACACATGGAGATCATCCTGACACCTTCCCCCCTGACACATGGAGATCATCCTGACACCTTCCCCCCTGACACATGGAGATCATCCTGACACCTTCCCCCCCTGACACATGGAGATCATCCTGACACCTTCCCCCCTGACACATGGAGATCATCCTGACACCTTCCCCCCCCCTGACACATGGAGATCATCCTGACACCTTCCCCCCTGACACTGGAGATCATCCTGACACCTTCCCCCCTGACACATGGAGATCATCCTGACACCTTCCCCCCTGACACATGGAGATCATCCTGACACCTTCCCCCCTGACACATGGAGATCATCCTGACACCTTCCTCCTCACACATAGATATCCAACCCACCTGTCCTGACACCTTCCCCCAACACAAGGAGATCATCCTGACACCTTCCCCCCTGACACATGGAGATCATCCTGACACCTTCCTCCTCACACATAGATATCCAACCCACCTGTCCTGACACCGTCCCCCAACACAAGGAGATCATCCTGACACCTTCCCCCCTGACACATGGAGATCATCCTGACACCTTCCCCCCCCTGACACATGGAGATCATCCTGACACCTTCCCCCCCTGACACATGGAGATCATCCTGACACCTTCCCCCCCTGACACATGGAGATCATCCTGACACCTTCCCCCCCTGACACATGGAGATCATCCTGACACCTTCCCCCCCTGACACATGGAGATCATCCTGACACCTTCCCCCCCTGACACATGGAGATCATCCTGACACCTTCCCCCCCTGACACATGGAGATCATCCTGACACCTTCCCCCCCCTGACACATGGAGATCATCCTGACACCTTCCCCCCCTGACACATGGAGATCATCCTGACACCTTCCCCCCCTGACACATGGAGATCATCCTGACACCTTCCCCCCCTGACACATGGAGATCATCCTGACACCTTCCCCCTCAAACATGGAGATCATCCTGACACCTTCCTCCTCAAACATGGAGACCATCCTGACACCTTCCTCCTCAAACATGGAGACCATCCTGACACCTTCCCCCCCTGACACTTGGAGACCATCCTGACACCTTCCCCCCCTGACACTTGGAGACCATCCTGACACCTTCCCCCCTGACACTTGGAGACCATCCTGACACCTTCCCCCCCTGACACTTGGAGACCATCCTGACACCTTCCCCCCCCCCTGACACTTGGAGACCATCCTGACACCTCCCCCCCCCTGACACTTGGAGACCATCCTGACACCTTCCCCCCCTGACACTTGGAGACCATCCCTGACACCTTCCCCCCCCTGACACTTGGAGACCATCCTGACACCTTCCCCCCCCCCTGACACTTGGAGACCATCCTGACACCTTCCCCCATGACACTTGGAGACCATCCTGACACCTTCCCCCCCTGACACTTGGAGACCATCCTGACACCTTCCCCCATGACACTTGGAGACCATCCTGACACCTTCCTCCTCACACATGGAGATCCAACCCACCTGTCCTGACACACGGAGATCCTCCTTACACCTTCCTCCTCACACATGGAGATCCAGCCCACACCTTCTTCTCTCACACATGAGTAACCTCCTTATCTGTTCTCGCATATGGAGATCATCCTCACACATGGAGATCCAGCCCACACCTTCCTCCCCACACATGGAGATCCAGCCCACACCTTCCTCCCCACACATGGAGATCCAGCCCACACCTTCCTCCCCACACATGGAGATCCAGCCCACACCTTCCTCCCCACACATGGAGATCCAGCCCACACCTTCCTCCCCACACATGGAGATCCAGCCCACACCTTCCTCCCCACACATGGAGATCCAGCCCACACCTTCCTCCCCACACATGGAGATCCAGCCCACACCTTCCTCCCCACACATGGAGATCCAGCCCACACCTTCCTCCCCACACATGGAGATCCAGCCCACACCTTCCTCCCCACACATGGAGATCCAGCCCACACCTTCCTCCTCACACATGGATAACCTCCTTACCTGTCTTCACATATGGAAATCATCCCCACCTGTCCTCACACCTTTCTCCTCCCACATGGAGAACATCCCCACCTGTCCTCACACCTTCCTCCTCCCACATGGAGAACATCCCCACCTGTCCTCACACCTTTCTCCTCCCACATGGAGAACATCCCCACCTGTCCTCACACCTTTCTCCTCCCACATGGAGAACATCCCCACCTGTCCTCACACCTTCCTCCTCCCACATGGAGAACATCCCCACCTGTCCTCACACCTTCCTCCTCACACATGGAGAACATCCCCACCTGTCCTCACACCTTCCTCCTCACAGATGGAGAACATCCTCACCTGTCCTCACACCTACCTACTACTCATACATGGAATGCATCCACACCCTTTCCTCCTTATACATGGAGATCATCCTCAGCTGTCCTTGCATCTTCCTTCTACATGGAGATCATCCTCATACCTTCCTCCTCATACATGGATAACCTCCTTACCTGTGCTCGCATCATCCTCCTCATACATGGAGATCATCCTTAAACATGGAGATCATTCTCACCTTCCTCCTAATACTTGGATATTTCCCCACCTGTCTTTACAGCTCCCTCCTCCTACATGAAGAACATCTATACACACCTTCCTCATATAAAGAGTTAGGCAGTTCTGAACACAATGGGGTTTCCCTCCCATGGAGACCCAAACAGTCATCCAAACCAAACCTTTAAGGATTGCCAGACCAAATGGTAAAAGGAGTCTAGTCCATTTTAATGGTTCGCAGCAAAAGAAAATCCAATGTGTTTCGGAGGCAAAAGCTCTCCCCTTTGTCAGAACTTGAGATCTAGACTAGAACTTGAGTAGATGCCATTAAAAGCTTTTCTATATAATTCTGTATGAAAAAGGAATCCATGAATCGGAAATCGGTAACCAGTGGTGCCATTGTTATTGGCACTGATATCAACACGGGTTGGTTACTGATTCTGATTTAATCTGTGTACCATTAAAGTTCTAGGACTCCTTTACCATTTGGGCTGGTGCTCCTTCTGTTACTTTGGGTTAAGATTTTAGGATTGGGACTTCAGAATTTGCTTTAGAACCTAGACACCGTATCAGAGCTGCATCCAAGGGTGATGATTGATACGCACCTTTGCAATGCTCCCTGAACCATCTCTTCCTCTGCCTTGAATGGGCAAAGTGACAGATTCTCTTGAACAATGTTGCGAATTGTCAGGATTTCTTGTACTAGAGAGCGGTCACCTCTGTGATATCCCCCCAACTGGTCAGCATTAAGAACCAGCCTAGTACAGTATCAGGTCCTCCTTAACAGGCTGGTACATTTTATTTCTCTGTCTGTCATATGTAGAGAATACTTTCTTATACCATTTGTTAGAACAAAAAGTTATCATCCAGTACTGAGTCCTGGCAGTCGGTAGTGTTTTTCCAGTCATCAGTATAACTCTGCCCTTATTTACTCAAACAGATAAGTTTACACATTTGACGTGCGAAACCATGCGTGAAAGATTTCTTAAAGCACTTTTTCTAGTTCTTGAGTTTTTTTGGTTTTACTCTTTCTGAAACATTTAAAGAATGAAACTGATGTCATAACCCTTGGTTTATGTGTGCATTCTTTAACCACTTGCCTACAGGGCACTTATACCCCCTTCCTGCCCAGGCCAATTTCCAGCTTTCAGTGCTGTTGCACTTTGAATGACAATTGCACGGTCATGCAACACTGTACCCATATGAAATTTTTTATCATTTTTTTGTGTGACAGAGCTTTATTTTGGTGGTATTTTATCACCTCTGAGTTTTTTTATTTTTTTACTAAACCAAAAACCACTAAAAATTTTGAAATAAAAAATGTTTTTTCCTTAGTTTTTGTTATAAAATTTTGTAAATAAGTGATTTTTCTCCTTCACTGATGTGCGCTAATGAGGCTGCAGTGATGGGCACTGATACCCTGCACTGATGGACACTGATAGATGTTACTGATGGGCACTGATGAAGAGGCACTGGTAGGTGGCACCGATGGGCATTGACAGAAATCACTGATGGGCACTGAAAGACAGCACTCATATATGCCACTGATAGGTGGCACTGACTGGCAGCACTGATAGGTGGCACTGACTGGCATTGATAGGTGGCACTGGGTGACACTGAAAGGCAGCTCAGATGGGCACTGACATGTGTTATTGATGGGCACTGGCAGGCATGGATGAGCACTGAGAGCTGGCACTGATGGACACTGACAGGTGGCGCTGCTGGGGCTACACATCTCAGGGACTGATCATCAGTGCTCTGATGATCTGTGTACATGTCCCCTCCGAGGAATG